GTGGCTGCACTCGCCTGCGGTTCCTTTCGCCCAGGACAGCGTTTCGTGGCCGGGAGCTCCACCGAAGGCCCCGGTGGCTGCACTCGCATGCGGTTCCCCTGCCCAGGACCGCGTTTCTCGGCTCAATCGGGAGGTCCACCGAAGGCCCCAATGGCTGCACTCGCGTAGGGTTCTCCCACCCAGGACAGCGTTTCGTAGACCCATCGGGAGCTCCATCGAAGACGATACTCAACATTGCGTAACCCACACCTGCATATGGTTGGGTCCATTGCCAGGCTAATTTTCCAAGTTTTCGTTGCGAAAAAAAACATGATGTGACCGGCCTGCAATCCCGTCACGGCCATTGGGAGGAGAGGGCGCGAGAGGGAGGGTGGCACAAACGAGGATGGAGGAGGAGGAGGAGGAGGAGGAGCAGGGGGGGAGGAGGAGCAGGAGGAGGAGGGACAGTAGGATGAGTAAGAAACCCGGTATGGGGCCACGAAACGCTGTCCCTGGTGGGGTACCCGCATGCGAGTGCAGCAACTGGGGCCTTCGGTGGAGCTCCCGATGAGGCCACGAAACGCTGTCCTGAGAAGGGGATCGCATGCGAGTGCAGCCACTGGGGCCTTCGGTGGAGACCCCTACAGAGCCACGGAACGCTTGTCTGAGTGGGGGAACAGCACGCGAGTGCAGCCACTGAGGCCTTCGTCGGAGCTCCCGACGGGGCCACGAAACGCGTGGGGGAACCGCACGCGGGTGCAGGGTCTTCGGTGGAGCTCCCGATGCGGCCACGTAGCGCTGTCCTGGGTAGAGGAACCGCATGCGAGTGCAGCCACTGAAGTCTTCGGTGGGCTCCCTACGGGGCCACGTAGCGCTGTCCTGAGTGGGGGAACCCATGCGAGTGCAGCCATTGGGGCTTTCGATGGGAACCTCTATGGAGGCGCGAAACGCAGTCCTGGATGGGGGAACCGCATGCGAGTGCAGCAAATGGGGTTTTCGTTGAGCCCCCTATGGGGCCCCGAAGCGTTCTCCTGGGCGCGGGAGGCGCATGGTGGAGGAGGGGGAAGGGAGGAGGGGGACAAGGAGGAAAGGAGGAAGGAGTGCCGTGCACTGTCTCCTCAGAACGAGGGCCTAAAACCACAGGATGGTTGGGATAAGCGAACGTGCACATGCGCATAGCGAGACCCTATGCCCACTGCGGCCGCGAGCGTTCTTCGCGGCGTGATCCACCCAGAGCAACCGCTCCGCTTGCGCACGCGCACAGTAAGACACCACTTCAGCACTCTTCTTGAACGCTCGCTCTGGCGGAGAGTTCACCAGGGCACCGCCCAAGTGGCCCATGGCATCTACAAAGCCGCGCCCGTTTTCGCCTCACCAGCGTCAGCAGCGCGGTTCCTCTTGCTTGCAGGCCTCGCAGCACTCTGGTCTTGCAGGCGAGTCGGTCTTTGGGGCATTCCCCAAAAAGTTATAGAAAGTTCCGATTTGGCCGCTGGCAGCGTTTCAATGGTTTGATGTCACGAAGCGTCTGTGCCGCAATGTGTTACAAAGGTGCGCGTTTGCGCCAGGATGTTGTTCCGAACTGCCTTCTCTACGGCTCCGCTGTGCCAACTTGGTTTCGCGTGGCGCCCATCCCGATGGGAGATTCCACTGCTGTTGCGCATCGTTGTGCGATGTGCAATTAAGTGCGTTTGGTTGTGTTTGAGCGGCCTTTTGCTGCCTCAGCGGCGGCTTGGTTGCCCCCCCCCGCTTCCGCCACCCCCACGTGGAGCTGCATGATTGTTCTTGGACCTACATGCGAGTATCATCCATATGCGTTTTCGGACACTAACTCATCCAATAGTAATGTAACTGTCTGGGCATCCGACGTTGTTCGTCAGCGGCGACTCGAAACGGGCGGTGGGCGCCGCCCTCGGAGTCGCTTTTTCTGTCGTCGATGGAAGGATGCGGTTAGTTGGCTCGGGTTCATGTTCCAACCTGATCGGTCGCAGGGATCAGACCCGCAGTGAGCGATCAAGGATGCATCAGTCAGATCAGAAAACAATCCGTTCTCCTGCCACTGGACCAGCGCCAGCCAGCGATAACGTGCACATTAACCTTGGCGAGCCACTTATGGAGTTCGAAGTCGATCCCATCATCCTCGAGGACGCTCCTCCAGTGCATTCTAGGGGGCGACTCGTCAACGTCGTACATGGGTGCAGGTTTTTGGGGGGTCGCGCCCGACGGCCGAGTGCGGTCGCTTGAAGTTGGATAATGTCCCACACTTAGCCTGACCAGCCGTTTGGCTTCGTAACCGGCCCACCACCAAAAACCCATGGCCTGGACGTGTAGTCGGATTGCCGTCGGCGCCTGGGCGCTCCCTGGGCCGTGGACCTGCTATGCCAGCGTGGTCTGGTGGAGCCTCGTCAACAGGCCACTTCCGCGGGAGTGGCTGACTCGGTCCCGCCGTGCGCTGTTTGGGAATGCCCCGACCAGAGATGCCGAGCTGCGCGCAGTGTTGATCTGCGACATTGTGCACGGTGTCGTCGCGTCTGTCCTTCGAGTGTTCCGCCGGGATGCGCTCGCGGTGATGTTGCGACGGAGCAACGCGCTGCTGGCGACCAGGCGGATGATGTCGCGGCGGAGAGATATGCTGCTGAGGATATGGGCGATGCTGCGTTGGCGGGAGCTGCTGCCAGCGATCGGGGCAGCTTGCGCAACGACGCCAGCAGCGATGCAGGCAGGAAAGGCGTGGGCGCACATTGGGCATGCGTGTCTAGATTGGCCAGGCGCAACCAACGGTGGGAAGCAGTATCGTCGTCTTCTAGTGAGTCGGGAAACATTGGGGCTGCTGCAGCATTGAAGACTACACGCGAGCGCAACCAGTTTCGGCCACCTCATCAAGAAACGTGGCCGCTCAGGTGGGAAGGCTTTGAATGCATCGACTGGAATGGTGTCTTGGAGCATGTCTAGTGGGGCGGTGGCGTGCAATATTCATGGGGCCGCGTCCTGCACGTGGCAGCCTGAACGCGTCGTCCAAGACGCTTCTGTCTTGAAACCGAGCGCCCCAGGCTGCCCTGGCCCGTGGATGATGGCGCGGAATTCAGTCCATCGTGGAGCGCGCGATTGTCAATTCGGTGCTACGGGACATAGTCGACACCGGGGATAACACTTGGGAGGGCCCGCCCCCTGAGACATCGCTGGGCATGGAAGTTGCGGGGGTTAGCGCCCGTGCTGGTCCGAATGGCCCGCGGCCATCAGGTGAACCCTCGACTGCAAGCGAATGCGATGATGACGACGTTCAGCCACGACCCGCGGTTGTTGATATGACCAAGGCAACGGATGCTGCCAGCGCCGGGGGCGCCCCCCCCCCGCAGAGTGTTCAGCGTCGGCGGAGGCCGCTGCGACTGCGGCAGATATGCTCACCGACGTCAATCGCGCGGGCGGCACGCCCGACCGCAGACGTAAGGCGGCATCAGGGCTGAGAAAACAAGACCAGATCGGTTGTACCCACGTCTCCCATTTTCTGCCGCACGAACGCAAGCGCCCCGATTGCCAGACGCGCTAGCGTGCTAAGTCGCAGGTTCCCAGCGACATCGCCGCAGGCTGTCCCGCTTTCCCTCACCCGCCCTGGCGCCCGAGCCTCGGTACAGGCAGGGGCCGCCACTGGCAACCATCGGGGGTTCACACAAGCACCAGGCACGTGCGCGAAGCCCGCAAGGTGCGCCGCACGTGCCAGGTGCAGCACGCGCACCAGGTGCGCCACAATGGGCCATGTGAAGATCGGCGTCCCCCACAACATAATTATACTATGTGCGCGTCTCCCCCGCCAGGGGCGACGCGCGCACCGAGGAATCTTATAGTGTATGCGTCGTCTCGGGCGTTTTCTGGCCACACCGCTCGGGAAACGATGCACTACACGGTGGGTATACTATCTGTTCTGGTCGGACGCGCGCCTCCAAGGAGGACATTTAGTATCAGCATGTCTTTGCGCGTCCCATGAAGACCCCCTCCGCCACGCCTTGTCGAAAACCATGTAATTTGACGGCGGGGTTGCGAGCACTGTGTATTGTGTGTGGGTGTGCACCCGAAATCATTTTGCCTTCGTTTTTGACACGGATGTTGGGCCTGCACAGAGCAGCCAGTATGCCGCCCTCCCCCCGTCCCGCCGTCCTTGGTAAAAGAAACTTTGCATGTCCTGTTATGGTGGGCCTGCACGCAGCAAGCAGTATGCCGGCCCCCTAGCCGTCCCTGTCAAAAACAATTGCGATGTTGGTGCAAAGCGATCTGTGTATTGTTTTTGTTTCTGCAATTGGTGATGGGAGGGTGTTATCACTACAAGCACAGGCAGGGTCCCGGCAACCCCGCCGTCCCTGTCAAAAACCGACGCAAGGCGATCGCGGGGCATCCGCGCACGATCTGGATTTTGGTGCATATTGCACCTTGCATGGTTTTTTGGGCGCGGGATGGTGGCAGGGCGTTGGCATCGGCCCGGGTTTGTCGCTGGTCGGGTGGGGAAGGAGGTATTTGCTAATCCTCCTCCTCCTTCTCCTCCTCCTCCGTTTACTCCTCCTCCTCCTTTTCTTCCTCCTCCTCCTCCTCCTCGTCCTCGTCCTCTTCCGTCTCCTCCTCCTCCTCCTCGTCCTCTTCCGTCTCCTCCTCCTCCTCCTCCTCCTCGAAGGGGAAACGACTTCGACCACCTCCGTTCAGAGGGCCGATGGGAGCCGTTGCCTGGCGCCCCGTCGCTGAAAGTCTTCCTGCTGTTCCCTCCGCATGCTCCTCCCTTCTCCTGTGCGTTTCTGCTCCAGTCTCGGCATGCTGGGCCCGTTCGCGAGGTTCCCGAGCTTCGGTGCGGCTCTCTGAAGTAGATTGATTTCCAGCCTGCCCCATGAAACATTTTCGGGCCCTGTATTCTCCAGTGGTGATGCTGCCGCAGTGCGATTGCATGGGTGCATGTTGTGGACGATGATGAGTTTGTTCAGATGTCGTGCCTGTGCATTTTGCCATCATGTACACTGTCGAGCGTGCCTCCGACAGCAACTGAGGTCTGCGGCATCCACGGACACCTTGATCCAGGACCAAGCCGAGATGGAGGAACTGCACAAGGACAAGATAGTGTTTGAGGCGCGTTGTCCGAGGAGGGGGAGGAGGACGGACATATGGACGTCCACAAAGTTACATATTGCACCGACAGTCTCGAGCAGCGCGTCGATGTCTTATGACACAAGCGCGTCTTAGTCGGGCGGGGCCTCGTCGGGGAGCATGGAATTGACGCCCACGTATGTTGAAGTCGTGTTGTTTTGGCGCGGCTGCGACGAAATGCTGACGGAAGGGGGCGCAATCAAATAACATCGTATCGAAGACGCATACGGCGAATCACCGCCACCCCCTGCCTTTGGAAGCGCTTAGGTGGCCAAACGTTGCGGCCAGAGCTCGGCTGGAGCTCGGCCAAGCTATCGGCGATCCAAGATCCCTCAACAATCGCGTGAAAACAGCTGACGTTGGCCTCTTCGGGCCCTATGGAGAGGTCCTCCCCGAGGCCTCTGCGGCCGTCTTGGAGGCCATCTTGGCCCATCTTGGGGGCACCTCGGCCCGTCTTGGAGACATTAGGGGGCCATCCTGGGCTATCGTGGTCGTCTTGGAGATCACCTTGGCCCATCTTGAGGGGCACCTCGGCCCGTCTTGGAGGCATTTGGGGGCCATCCTGGGCCATCGTGGCCGTCTTGGAGGCCATCTTGGCCCAGGAGGCCATCTTGGGGGGCCGCCTGGAGCGGCAAGGCAGACGACACGGGAAGCTCACGGGTCCTTCTTCCATGCCGGCGCATTCGGCCGAAAGCCTTTGGGAACTTGTAGCAGAATCTTAACGTTGTGGAAGTCGATCAATGGAGAGGAAACATGCTGCCAAATAATTTCCAGATGTCAAAAAATGCTTCAAACATGTCTTCCATGTGTAAGAACATGTTTGAGACATGCCTAGAACACGTTATGCACAGTTTAAACACAGTGTTAATTCCATGGTAGGACTGTTAGAGTGTCCACTGTCATGGCATCCACAATCCTGACGTCCAGCGCGCCGCGCGCCTCTGTGGCCAGCCTCGGGGGGGCGGCGGATCGACGACGCCTGCGACGAGCCACCGCTGCCCCCTGTCTTTGGAGCCGCTCTTGCGGCCGAGGTTGCGGGCAGGGCTCGACCGAGCTATCGGACTATGCGTTCCCCCAGCCGGTGTGGAAACCATTCGGGGAACACGGGGGGGGGGGAGAGAAAAAGAGGACGAAAGGGAGGACAAAAAGCTTGTGAGTTTTCAGGGCACTCTTTGAGCCCAGTGGGAGTTTCCTGGGGGCTTGTGGGAGGCTTCTTGGGGGCTCCCCTGGGCCTCTTTGGGGGCCTTTGGAGGCTCCTTGGGAGGCTCCTCTGCCGTCTGAGGGCGTTCCTGGCTCGTCTGACGCCGTCGGAGACCGTCCTGGGAGCCTCTTTGGGCCAAGTTGGGGCCCTCTTTGGTCGCTTCAGGGCGGAGACCATCTTGGGAGTCTTGGATGTATTTTGATTCTAAAGCGAGCTGAGGGACGTAAGGGGTGGAAGCGAGCGTGCGCCCGCGGCCGCGTCGGCTCAAGCGGCCGGCCGCCCAAATATGACTGCGCCTCATTGCGAAGCACACACTCGCTATCGAGACCAAAAGGATCTTCCTATTGCTTAAGATGGCACATCCTCTCCTACTGGGACTATCGCTACTACGGTACAACAGAGCTGGAGCATGGCTTCGCCTCAGGCGAAGCTGCTGGCTGGGCCTCCCAGCCCCCGTCAAACTTGGTAGCGGAGCTGGCCTATGGTGGTCAGATCTTGCTCTACTCCTCGCCATCCACGGCACTATCTGGTGGACTACGGACATGGTGGAACATCAGGGTGCAGTGGGTTTGCGCGGAGGAATGTATATAGTTACGCAATGCCGCAAGGACACTTGCAGCGATACTTCTGCTCAAGTGGAGGCCTTTTACTTATATCCTACATCCCTGCGCTTCTACACTCCTGAAGTCCACCCACCTACTCAAATTGGGAATTTCTTCGGCGATATAATGCATGGGAACATGCGATATGAAATACAGCCGCCTCCAACCCCACGCAGACTTACGGCTACTCAACGGAAGCCCCAACCGACTACATCCGACTACGACTTACGAGGCCATATGATTGGCGTTGCTATCTTTGGGCTCACATGGGTCGCTATCGGGCGTGCCGTAGGACATATGCGTGGCGGAGACGGCACAAGAACGACCGGCCCTCATTGGGACCCAGCCGGTCAAGTACCTTTTCGCGAGTTCGTCCGCGAAGTACATGCTTGGATCAACGTGACCACAGGCAATATGACGCCCTCCCAGCAGGCTGCAGCTCTGCAGCGAGGTTTGGGAGGTCTCGCACGGACCATAGCCATGATAGTCCCTCCAGCAGTTATTAACTTTGGCGTCAACATAAGTGGCCGCCATACTGACGGCGTCACCTACATCATGTTCCTCTTAAACACGAAGTGCGAGAACTTAGATGAGGAGCGCCAACTCAACTCTGGTACGGCTCTCATTGATTTCCGAGTCCATGCGGGAGAGCGTATTGACCAGACGTTCACGGTTTGAGATAGCCGCTATGAGGTTGAAACAGCCAGCTTCAACATCTCTTACTTCCAAATCCTAACAACGATTATATTCAGAGCTCTTGGAGTGGGGACATCGCGTGCACAACAACTCCTGCAGCCTCTATAAACCACTATATGCCGAGAGACCAACAACAACAATGTGACGCTCTATTTGAACGCGTGAGGTCACATGCTCACATTGCTGAGAGAACCCCCGGCAATATTGGTGGTGTCTTCAGTCACGATCACCGAACCGAGACCTTCCACGTGGAGGCTAACGCAGGGCAGCCTGCCAACAATGTCTGGAATGATGATCCACAACCAACTGAGACCACTACACTGTTGGCTCAGAATGGTGGAGCGGCCTCGGGGTCGCAAGACTCCAGGGCCAGGCTTCGGGGGCCGCCCGACGCGGCCCCCCCCCCCCCATGCAAGCCATGGCCCTAATGGGTTCAGCGGGGCAGCCCGCCGAGTCCGACTTCGACTCCGGAACTGATGCAGATGCGTCTTCAGATGACGAAGCTGCCGCCATTGATTACTCTGATCTGCCTACATACCTTACTGAAGAGCAACCAGAGCAATGGTTATTTTTAGGCAATCAAAAACACAAGCGTCGCTGGCGGAGATTCATGAAGAAACCAGTCCGACAGGCAAGGCGTATCGCAATAAAGGTCGAAGTAAAGGTAATATTAAGGTCGAAGTAAAGGTAATATTAAGCGTCGGCGATTGCATGGTATAGGCATGTCAGCATTCTCAGCATCTCTCACTGGACTTCAGTACGAAGAAATGTTCTTAGGCGGTGGCAGAAACCGCAGGCATACATCAGGCACAGGCAAAGGACGACGGGGGAACCCAAAGGATGCCAACGGTCGAACTATGGAGTGCGACATATGCCACAGCACGCAGCATTTCCGACGCGAATGCCCTCAAGGTGATGGAAGAGGCAGGGGTCCGTCAATACATCTGGCGCAAACAGACTCCGACATGCAGTATGTCGACTGGGGGTCTCTTTTAGCTGACCCTGCCGATAGCTCAGCCGCAGTTGTTAAATTCATGGCTTCCAGATATCTCAGCGCCAGTATGACCCCCGAGAATTGCGCCGACGAGCTGTCCGAGGGGTTGTCCACTGGCCACAGCGACATCGACTTGGCAGACTGGCTGGGCAGACCCATCGCGGGGCAACCTGCAGATATTGAATTTGTCGAGAACTTCCACGCGCCCGCCGAAGGAGATGTTGATATGGGGGGGGGGGCACCCGCGGATTCAGAAGCTGCCATTCCTGCAACAGACGAGGAAATATAGATGATGCTCTATCCTCGGGCGATTGGAAATCCGACAGATCTGGAATTGGGCGATGATGATCCTCTGCGGGGAAACCCGCGAGACGCTGGTGATTTATCTGAGCGCATTCAATGTGAGCTTGGTCATAATGCGCATCTCCACTGGGTTTCTGTGGCTCTGTCCCCGAATGTACCCCCCCCGATGATGGTCATGTGTTGTGCGATCTTCGCGTCCTCGCGATCTTGGGCATCTGAAAGTCTCAAACGGCCAAGAGGTCCCACCAGGTCGTCCCAAGACGGCCTAAGAGAGTCCCGCGAACCAAAACTGGAAGAAGGCCCCAGGAGGGGCCCACGATGAGGAAGTCAGAATGCACGCCGGGAGCCCTCTCCCTCAGATGGGCCTCGAGGCCCCCGATGGCTTCAACAATCCCTCCACCCGCCCCCCAGAATCCCGGAGGGCAGCCGCCCCATCGCCCTGCAAGGCCTTTTTTGGCTTTCGGAGGCCCTCTTGGAGCCATCTACGGCCATCTCGTGCGCTCCAATGAGTCGCGCCCCCCCCTTCCCAGGCCCAGGGGAGGGGGTGGGGGGAGGGATTGAGCTCCCCACCCGCCCGCAGGCCGTCTTGCTCACTCCGACCCGCCCTCCCAACACATACGTAACACCCGGGAGCCAGCAGATCGCGTAAGAATGCCACAAACGCCGCGGGTTCTACCTGCACCAGACCCTGGAGGCCCAAGCGTGCCAGGCGCGCCAGGCGCGGCACGTGCTCCACGTGCGCCCAGTGTTTCATGTGCTCCAGCCGCGCCAGGTGCGCTAGCCACTGGGAACCAATAGGTAGGGGCTCCACCTGCGTGCGCCGCAACTGTTGCTACGCCAGCAATTGCGCGCGCCCCGGCGCACGCTTGTGCTTACTGGCCTCCGCGCGCGGCCCACCCCCATCCACGCATGAGAAGCAAACGTGCGAGAAGGGCAGCAGCCGCTGATGTGTCAAACCAGTCGGTCGACCACCTACGCCCAGTCTCACTCTCTCGTCTTTTCTGCCCACCCGCCGCCCCGCCGCCAGGTGCTGCACGAGCGGGCGCGTCTTTCCCCAACGCCGTCTCCGAACGGCGACAAG